CCTTACACTCCCGGCGGCCTTGCAGGTCCACCGCCGGGCCCCTCATGGGCGGTGGCGGCCGGGACCGTTGGGGGCGGGGTGTGTGGCCTTATGACACATTTCCGGTGATGTCAGGGGGTGTGGCCTTATGACACACTTCCGGTGATGTCAGGGGGTGTGGCATATGCTAATGAGTTATGCTAATGAGTTCCCCTAGCTCTTTTTCTACGAAATGACCCCTGCCTACAACAAATGTTACATTTCCAACACACTCCCTCCACCTCCTACACCTAACAGGTGGTTGTCTGTCAGGTACAGCAGCGGTTGCAGGGTGCTTAAAGTCCCAAGGGAGCCCGCCCCAGCAGTAACGCCTTAGTGATCCTGCTGGCTCCGCCTCCACAGTGGCTTCTAATACTCCTCCCCCCTCCCCCTCCTACACTGGATAGGCAGCTGCCTGTCAGGTGTAGGAGGGGAGGTGGGATGCTTACAGCCACCGGGGAGGTTTGCTCAGCAGGATTGCCTTAGCACTGTTGCTGGCCCAGCCTTCCCGATGCCTTTGAATACAATCCCCCCCAACACCAGACAGGCCGGTGTCTGTCAGGTGTAGGAACAGGGCCAGGGTATGAATGTTTATGGGGAGATAGTAAAGGACATTTCTAGGAGCCATTTCAATGCATGCCTCCCTCATGAACCTGAAGAAATGTCCACCACATCACCACTCCCTCACACCAACTCCCCTCACACCTCTTACCTCTTACTGCCCCAAGAAAGCTCCTGGCTACGTCGAGCCAGATACACCAACGCTACAAGGAGGAGGCAATTTAGGAATGCAGCAAAGACATGTGCACATAGTACTCCTGGAGTGCACTGAGCTGCACAGGCCAAGTACTAGCAAGATCACCCTGAGGTGCTCAGAACAACACAGTCTCCATATGAACAAAACAATCCAGGAACAAAAGTAGAGAGGCCATCACTTTCGTGGAAGGTAGCAGGAGTTGACTTAACAGACGACTGCTTCTCACATGGACAGTTCTATGTGGCCTGCTCATCAAACAGCCTGGTGATCCTAGCACCTGAGGGCAGAACTACCAATGTGGTCCAGAGAGAGGTCCTTAGTAGAGAAAAAAAAAGTATGTATGTCTCACTTCATTTCTTACACTTCAATCTTCTCCATTAGAATTCCTACAAAAAATATTAATTTCAAAATTTGCATCATCAGTATTATAACTGGATTTATGGAACTTAAATACCGTAGCAAAGCACGGGTATCAGGCTAGTGATATAATATACTCTACTTGGGGCTACCCTTGAAGAGTGTTTGGAAGCTACAGCAAGTGCAGAATGCTATGGCTAGATTTGATGGTCGGGGCCAGCTACTGGGAGCATGTGTCCCCGATAATACAGCAATTATACTGGCTTCTAATCAGCTCCCAAGCCCAATTCAAGGAGTTGGTTTTGACCTTTAAAGCACTACATGGCTTGGGACCAGGTATCTGAAGGACTGTCTTCTTCCAAACGTTCCTGCCTTGGAACTAAGATCACGGCGAGAGGCCCTCTTGACTGTCCTACTGACCAAAGAAGCTCGTCTGGTATGTACACAAGAGAAGGCCTTTTCAGTGGCAGCCCCACAATTCTGGAACAACCTCCCCAGGGAGGTGCACCTAGTCACCTCACTTTCAATCTTCAGGAGGCAATTGAATACAGTTTTATTTAAGACATCTGATTGACAGAGGGATTGGGGGGGTCATTTTGTTTTGAACTGGCAGTCCTAATTGGAGGTTTTAAATTGTGTCCTTATATATATTTTTATAATTGTTGTTTTATTTATATTGTAAGTCACCTTGAGTTCCATAAGGTAAAAAGGTAGCTAATAAATGTTGTAAATACATACATACATAATTGTCCCAGAAGCTGCCCTGAAGCCACCACCACAGCTACTCTGGTTGCCCCATAGCTAAGACTGTCCCTATTTATGGAGTGGGAAGCAGGGCTGAGCCTACTGAACTTGTCTTCTTCACATTCACATGAAGACCTGCATGCATACAGGCTCTTTTTTAGACTTTCTTCATTTACCCTTGGGTGTCCTATAAAAATGGATTTTTGCCCTACCTCATATTTGTGCCTGATTCAAATCTGGATTCATATATGTTATTTACTGGGTGATTCTGGAGTAGTCAAAATTTCACAGTCTTAACCTGACTTACAGGGTTCATGTAAAGCTAAAATAAGGAATAACTGAATACCACCCTGAGCTCTTTAGAAGAAGTATGCGAAGAAATTGTGATGAAAAAACAAGGTTTTGAATAAAACACCCAAACGATATTGCAGACATTGTGTGGACAAGGCATACAGAATAAGTCTCCATCAGAAGAAGTTGTTCTGGAGAGCCAGTTTGGTGTAGTGGTTAAGTGTGCGGACTCTAATCTGGGAGAACCGGGTTTGATTCCCCACTCCTCCACTTGCACCTGCTGATGTGACCTTGGGTCAGTCACAAGCTCTGGCACAGCTGTTCCTGAAAGAGCAGTTTGTGTCAGAGTTCTCTCAGCCCCACCCACCTCACAGGGTATCTGTTGTGGGGAGGGGAAGGGAAAGAAGTTTGTAAGCTGCTCTGAGACTCCAAGTGAAGGGCGGGGTATAAATCCAATCTCTTCTTCTTCTTCTTGTTTGTGGCAATTATGGAATTGACGACCAACTCCTCAACAGAGGAGCATCTCTTTAGATTTTCTGTTTTGGTTTGAATCAGTATTTTACTCTGAACTTGTATACATTAAGTACAAAAATCACAAAAACAAATTATATACCATACCCACTTGTAGTATGTTTACAAAACTGAATTTTTCTGAGAACTAACCCATAGCCTATGATTTTCTACAAGAGAAAAGATGAAAACTCACCTGGGTGGTGCTAATATACTTCAAGAGCCTCAGGGCTTCATTACTCAAGGAAGGTACCGGACTTGCCCAAGGCTGCAAGTTTATGTGCCATCGTATAGTCTGAAATACCAGAAGGAAAACAAATCAGCACAAGCGGGGGGGGGGGGGGTTGCAAGCAAAGGTCACATGGCAAATTCTACTGTCTGTCCCAGTCAGTGGACACCGCTGTCCTTCACCTGTTCTTGCCAGACCAAGAGACACAAGTTTAAATTCCTATTCTGCCATGAGATTTGCATGGGGGTCTTGGACCAGCCACGCTCTCTGTCTCACCTACCTCACAGGATTGCTGTAAGGATAAAATGGGAAAGGGAGAACCATGTACTCCACCTTGAGCACTGTGATGGAATGGTGGAATTAAATGTACTAAATAGACAGACAGACAGACAAGGATTATGCGTATCTGAAATGGGTATACGTGCACAAGGAACTGTGTACAGCTGATCCTGAAAATTAAAGCTATTTGCATGCGTTTTCAGAACAAAATTCCACTTTCCATAATGTTTGCCAGCAGTCTTCCACGGACAAGTAATGGATTGCAGTAGCCATAAAACTAATAAGAAATGGAAAAGTGCATAATAGCAGATATAAAACCATTTGCAAATCAGACTTTATAATAAAGAAGTATTCTGAACCTGCAGGGAAGACCATTCTGAGGTGTCCTGAAAGAGGCAGCATTGTTGCCCACAGCACTGACTGCTCGCATTTTCATCACTGGGGAAAGCTAGTCTTAGTTCATGCTCTTGTGCTCTATGTGAAATCTGTCATCTCAAAACCTTGGAGATCCTGTCAGCTCAGCAAACAATTTTTTTCTCGCATAAAGTATGACAGAAGTATGACAGAAGGAAAGATCTTAAGGTAAGGAATTACCAAAAGGAACCACATTTCTCCCCAGCAGTCCCTTTCCTTAGTGTAGTCTCTCAAAACTAGTAGGGTTGGCCACTCCAAGTTAGGAAATTCCTGGAAATTTGAGGATGGAACCTGGGAAGGGTGGGGTTTGGGGACGGGAGGAACCTCAGCAGTGCATAAGGCCATAGAGGCCACACTCCAAAACAGCCATTTTCTCCAGGGAAGCTGATCTCTGTAGCCTGGAGATCAGTTGTGATTCCAGGAGCTATCCAGGCCCCACCTGGAGGCCAGCAACTCTAAAACCCAGATAATTTCTTCACTATTAGAATATTCAAAAAAGATTCCGCTTGTTCAATAATCCATTCCTCCCTCACTAGAGGGAAATACTGCTCATTTTTCCCTCGGTCATTTGAGGCCAAACATCTTCAAGATTCATATGATCCTTTCCTGTTGGAATGCTACAGAAGAAGTCTCGAGATTCTTTTGTTAGTTAGAAAGTAGAGGCAAGTTTGAAAGAAACATGACATTTAAGGCAGGAAATCTCATGTCCTCCCATCTTCCACTGTGCGCAACATTCAAAGGCATGCTTAAAAAAAGTATACACAATGGCAACCGTGGCACATCACTGCCTTTGAGTTCCACAGAGCTCTCTACACTAGAAGAGGTGGTGAAGATGTTGTATTGAACTCGTTGGCTTAGACCCACTGGAAGATTTTTGCATGCACCAGGATCCTTACATAGGGTGAGAAAAGTGGGAAATGTAGAAAAAACGTCACACAAGCCCCTTGCACAAAGTTGAACACAGCATATCTCAGAGCATTTCTGGGTGCTTTAAGATATAGAGAGGAAAGCTCCACATGTTGCACAAGATCTTGCAGAAGCAGAACTGCACTAAGTTTAAGTTTCCACTTGTGCTTTGCTGGGCCCAAGCCATTACCCTGTACACTGATTCTGAATGCTAAGTGAAGTCATTTGTGGGTGTCTTTTACCAAAATCAGTGACCTATGCCACAATTATCTCCATAAGGAAAAGTGAGGACAGCTGGAATTAAGATGAAATATACCTGCTCTGTTGCTCAGGATAGGGGAAATTACTGCCAGTGAGGAATTATGGGACACAAAAAGCCAATCAAGAAGAGCAGGTGACTACCTACTGTACAACTTGGAAGAAGAGAAGAAAAAAAGTTCTCCAGCTTTCCAGACATTGTGGAACTGCTTCCCCCCCCCCCGCCGCCCACTGCCTTCCCCGAGCCCTCTTCATGCTTGCTCTTGAAGAAAATGAAAGGGGGGGGCACCTAACCTTAGAGACATTTGAGAGCTTGGTAAAGTGATTCTTTTCTCCCCCCACCCTGTTCATTCTCTTGTGCTACCCCTCCCCAACATCCACTCAGACAGAACCTTACCAGCAGCAACTAAGGGGGGAGGGTACAAAAGCAGAAGCTTAAATTTAAATTAAAAAACCAACTCTGAACAACCCAGTCAGCCAGCTCCCTACAGTGTGTGCTGCTCTCTCCCACTGCTCATTACCCGCACAGCCAGGACAGGGCAATCATAAATTTTAAAAACTTTGGACGCCACCCCCCCCTCACAAGTGACATTCCAAACCGATTTAGAAAAGTGCAGTTTTTAAATTGTAGCTGCAGAATAAATACACAGGATGGTGTAAAACTGGTGTGGACAGCAAGTTTAAAGGGTTGACTGCTCCGATACTCTCCAGTAAGTTGTGAGTGCAGAAAGGGCCATGGTCACAGGGAAAGGGCAGAGGCAAAAGTTCAGAGGCAAAAAGGAGTGGGAGTCAGACACTATGAATGGACACGAGTCATATTTTTGCAGCTAAAATAAACACAGTCCTGCTCAGAACTATTAAATCTGTATGAAACTTTGTTCATTGAGTTTTTTTAAAAAAAATGTGATGATGAAAAAAACATTTTGAGAAGTCTTTTCATTCACAGCCAGAAAGCAGACTTGGATTTTCCATCACTTGAACTGCTCTTTTGGATTCTCTTCATTTTCCATTACTGGTCAATGAACTTGTATGCCCTTCAAAATTGAAGCTGAAGCACCAACTTGCAGCCTCTCTCACTGTTACCTCATTTCTAAGTAGAGCTGCTGAACTATGTGGATCCATTTGGAGGGAGAAGCACAGAGACTTTCCAAATCAATCAAACCTTTCCTCCAGTTTAGCAGTTTTTGTGGACTGGAAAGGTGGAAATCTGACAGGTCAGATCAGAAGAAGAAGAGAAGAGATCGGATTTATACCCCGCCCTTCACTACCCAAAGGAGTCTCAGAGCGGCTTACAAACTCCTTTCCCTTCCCCTCCCCACAACAGACACCCTGTGAGGTGGGTGGGGCTGAGAGAACTCTTGACACAAACTGCTCTTTCAGGAACAGCTGTGCCAGAGCTTGTGACTGACCCAAGGTCACATCAGCAGGTGCAAGTGGAGGAGTGGGGAATCAAACCCGGTTCTCCCAGATTAGAGTCTGCACACTTAACCACTACACCAAACTGACAATGTTTTCCCAGTCACAAACCAAGGACACATAACACAGTTGTACTCAGTTATTTTGAAATGTAAACACCCAAAGCTGCATTGATTATTTTAAGACATTAATGGGGGAATTGGCAACAGAATGAACCTATATCTTTATTGATAGATCAAGATGGGTAGCCACATTAGTCTGTCCGCAGCAGTAGAAAAGAGCAAGAGTCCAGCAGCACCTTAAAGACTAACAAAATTTGTGGCAGGGCATGAGCTTTCTTGAACCGCTGCTCACTTCTTCAGATAAAAAACGGAAGAAGTGAGCAGTGATGCTCCCTCTAAACTGTGGAGTCTTGTGAGCAAAAATTCTGCTTTCTGAGCTACTGGCGTTAAAGTTGTGAGCGAGCGATTTGGCTGCTGCATCAATTAGTTTGCTCTGAAGCCCTCTTTCCTGAGCTAAGACAAAAATGTGTGAGCTGGAGGCTAAAAAACTGTGAGCTAGCTCACACTAACTCAGCTTAGAGGGAACACTGGCAGTGACTCCCGAAAGCTCATGCCCTGCCACATATTTTGTTAGTCTTTAAAGTGCTACTGGACTCTTGCTCTCTTCTACTATATCTTTATTCTTTAACTAGGGGATATTTTCATATATACCTGCTCTTTCCTGAACAGAAGCTCACTGCAGTGTCCTTTTGAGGAAACAATATTAGAGACGTGTTAAAAACACTTATCAACATACAAAGTGAAGAGTAGAGATGTGAAAGCCCGTTAAAAAAACCACAAAAAATCAGGGAGAATTTCCCCCCTGAGGCCTTTAAAAAAAATCTGTCAGAAAAATTGGAAATTTTGGGAACTATTATTGTATGAAATATTTTCTCTTTTAGAATGCGTGAAATGATTTCAAGTGATAAAATTTAAACTACCTGTGCTGATCTCTCTAACTCTTTCCTCCACTATTTTCCTCTTCTTCCAGGTGTCCCTCTTGTTGGTGCCAAACTACTTGTTTTAGTGTTTCATGGGATCAGGATGGGTTCTCTGACGTGACTTACACCCAAGCAAATGGCAGCAGCAAATTCCCTGTTGGGCACTCATTTCCCAAGTGCATGGGCCCCCCCCCTGCTGCTAACTAGTGCCAGGGAAGAGCATCTCTCCGCCTCTCCCTGCATCGTTTCTTGACTCATAATGGCACTCTTGCCCCACTGGGAGGCAGAACATGTACTGAAGAGATATATGTAAGTTTCTCTAACAGAGTAAATAGTACTCCCTGTGGCCATTTCTGGCTGGAATACCCACACAGGGAGGAAGGCAGAAGCCCCTTCTCCCCCTGCACCATGGTCCCAATTAAAAATGGGCCACCATACATTTGGGAAATGAGTACCTAGAAGGGAGCTTGCTGCTGTCATTTGACAGTCCAAGTGATAGTTAGGGAACTCAGACCCACAACCTGTAAAACACCATAATGTGTAGCTTGGCTCTTCATCTCCTTCCATCTTTTCATCTTTCCTGTCTCACTTGTTGATTACCTTTTTGATCTCAGCCAATCCACCACATGGCCTTTTGATTCTATTCCATCCTGATTTCTGGTTGCTTTCTTGCTGTCATTCTCCCACCTACCCATCAATCACATAACCAATCTATCCCCTCTGGCTCCTTTTCAGCTGCATCCCCACTGTTTTCCCCATTCTGAAAGAGCTATCTTCCCCCTCGTACTACCATCTGATTTCTGTTCCACCC